ATGACTGGCAAGAATTCGAAGAGCAAGAAATCAAAAAGCAGTGCTAAGAAAGGTGCACACCAGCAAGCAGCGACTCACGTGACTCCACAGAAGAAAAATGTTCCCGATTCGGCGTCAACAGAGAAATCTCCTCAGCGCACGTTCCAAGGTGATGAGAATGGTGGATTAGAGCAAGTAGGGCCATCATTAACAAGTGGAAACGTGGAATTTGGTTTCTATGGCGAGGATCCGGTAGAACAAGGCAGTAGTTCCAGGCCTGTTAGATTAAGGGAGCCGAACAAAAGAATAGATGAATTGGAAGTTCGAGTCGAGAAAGCGGTTCATGCGAAGCGTCAGCGAAACTGGTATCTTGGAGAACTGCGGAAACGGCGAAATTGTGTACAAGAATTGATTTTAAGCCCTAGCACACAGATAAGTGGAGTGGAAGCCGAGATTTGCAGTTATCAGAATGAACGAGAAATGAAATTACAGTTAGAAATCCTCATAAATCAGTGGAGGAAAAAGGGAGTAGGTACCCCTCCTTCTGAATCTGGATTGAGCCATGGGTCTGACAAGAGCGAGAGAAGTTGTGTGTCAAATAGAAGCAGTGTTAAAGAGAAGAGAAGGGTGGCGGTAGAAGCTGAATTGGAAGTGCAGACCCTAAAAGAAAAGCAGGAACTAGAATGCAAATTAGAAGAAGTAGAAAGAAGTAAAGCAGAGTTAAACAGGAAATTAGAGCTGTTGAGTGCTAAAACTAAGATGGAGCAGGCGGAAGTTGACTTATTGCTGGAGTGTGGCGAAGAGAATGAAGCGAAGGATGGGATGAATGATTACTTAAAGGAGCATGGTGCCAATTATCCTCCTGCGAAGGGGCATTTGTCACAGCCTGTTGCGGGTGGTGCCACACCCTCTTCAGAATCCCAGCCAGTTGTTGACAATGGAAAAATGCAAACATCTTCAGCACAAGATATTGCCCAAACTTCACTTTCATCATTGGTGACTGCGAGTTACGTAACATCAGGGTCAGCGGTCACGACTTCTGCTCCAAATGTAGGAAGAGTAGCAATTCACAAGACGAGTTCTAGTAGTTTAACTACCCTGGCTCCAAGCATCTGTACTAAGTCCAGCACGCCTATCAGTTATGCACCTCGCTTTAAATTGGCAAGGGCAACATCCACAGCTGTTGCGGCATCACCAATGTCGATGCATCAATCACCAGGAATGCCTACATGGTCTTGTAGTCCACGAACTGTAGGTTTAGATGCATCAGCAACCGAGTTCTATCCTGCCAACACTCCTCAGCAATCCACATCAACGTACATTTATTCAGCCCCTCCTTTTGAGCAGCAAGCTAGTCCGCAGTCACGCATGCAGCCTGATCCTTGGGTGGCAGTTGCTGAAGCAATCAAGCAAGGGCCATCCTTACCGAAAGTAGAGTTGATGAAATTCAGTGGAGACCCTTTGGAGTATGTGGAGTTCGTTACGAACTTTAGAGACAATATTGAGAACCAGGTGTCTGATGAGTCTCAAAGACTGACACGCCTTTTAGCTCAGTGCTCAGGCAAAGCTAAAGAAGCAATTAGGAGTTGTGTTAATTTGACAGTGGGTGAAAGGTACACAGAAGCCTGGAGAACTCTTAGCGAGAACTAGCCTCACATGATAGTAGAAGCCCACATGAAGAAACTGAGAGAAATTCAAGTGCGGAAAGCAGATGCGACAACTCTCATGGAGTTTGTGAGGCGACTGGAAGATGCTAGGAGGGTCCTGACCAGTATGGGTCACAACTACGTGAGTCGGTTAGACAACGAAGATGTCATAATCTCGTTGATGCGAAAGCTCCCTGATGAGGGCCTGAAAAGGAAGTGGGTGGATAAAGCAGGAGATCTCATCAAATCAAGCGAAAAGGTCGAGCGGACTTTGCGGACTTTGTTGAATTTGTTCGAAGAGTTGCAGATCGTATAAACAATAGATACTGGCAAGAATTAGGGTCCTCTTCTCATGGTAACCGAGAAAAAAAGGAACCAAACAAGACAAAGGATCCGCCTCCCAAGTTTACTACCCTTGCGACTCAAACTGACCAGAATTGCCTAAGCCAGAAAACATCACCAAGGCCCCCTTGGAAGTGTGCGCAGTGTTCCGGACCTCACAATGTTTGGAGGTGCTGAAAGTTTAGAAGTGCCTAATTGAATGACTGTCTAAAGACTGTTCGTCAATGTGGACTTTGTAAGCTTTGTCTTGACCAAGGACATACTGCGAAACAATGTGATAGGGGATTCACCTGCCGAATATCAGGTTGCGGCAAGGATCACCACTACCTGCTACATTTCCCGTCAGAGAGCGTTGATGAAAAGAACCCTAGAAATCCCAGCAGTAATGCGGTGGAAGGTTCAGCGAACAGTAGCAATGTGCAAGTGCCCAACACGAAGGATAGCAGCCCTTCGATGGCAAGTGCAAGGGAACAGGATCTGGTGACGGTTGCTGCGCTCGAAGCGGGCAGACCCAGAGTATGCTTTAAGGTAGTTCCAGTCAAGATTAGATGTCCGGGAGGTGCCAGAGAGATCATAACGCACACTTTCCTAGACAGCGGTTCAGACGCCTTGCTCTGTCTAGATAGTTTGGCGCGTGAAATAGGTGTAACGGATATGAAGCCAATCAGCTATACTATGACCACCACCAACTGTGCGGACGGGGAGCTAAGACATGGTCATGAAGTCCAGTTAGAAATTGAATCGTTAGAAGGAGATGCAAAGTTCCAACTCGGAAACGTCTTGACTACAAGCAATCTTCCCGTTTCAGCACAACAAATGGCCACAAACGAGGATATTAAGCGTTGGCCTCATCTTTGTGACGTCAGCTTACCCGAAACAGGAGATAAGAAAGTGACAATTTTGATAGGAAACGATCGCCCAGACCTGATTGACAAGCAGTTAGATCGGAAAGAAGGAGATCAAGGCGAACCTGTTGCAGTGAGGACGCCCCTTGGGTGGACAGTCCACGGCCCGATTGGAGAAACTGTTAAGGACCGTGTTCACATAAACTTTACTCGCACCGGCCAAGATAGCTTAAGCGTTCAGCTAGAGCACATGTATGATGAGGAATTTGTTGAAGCTGATGCCAATGCTGAGGAAGGCATGTCTGTTGAGGACCGTAAAGCACAGGAACTTATGGATCAGTTGGCGACCTTAGTGAACGGACACTATCAGCTTAAGCTTCCTTTTCGCCAAGAGAAGCCTGACCTTCCTGAGAGTCTGTCGACGGCCACAAGCAGGTTAAGTTGGCTAGAGAGAAAGATGCGGAAGGATCCAGTTTTCCACCGAAAGTACAGTGGTGTAATGGACAAGTACCTGACCGAGGGAGCATCACAACAGGTACCTGATGACGAAGTCCCAGTGCTTAAGCCACTATGGTACCTTCCTCATCACGCGGTGTGGCATCCTAGAAAACCCGAAGAACCGCGGGTAGTGTTTGATTGTGCCTCAAGTAGATGACGTTGCAGTCACGGCAGATAGTAAGAGAATGTTTCACCAGGTCTTCGTAGCACCAGAAGATCGTGGAGCGTTGTGTTATTTATGGTGGCCGAATGGTGACCTGTCAAAGGGACCGAAGACTTACCAAATGCTCATGCACATTTTTGGAGCAAAGTCCTCGCCGAGCATAGCAGGATACGCCCTGAGAAAGACGGCTAAGGATAATGAGAAAGACTTCTCCCAAGAGGCAGTTGACGCTGTGCTTAAGGATTTCTACGTAGATGACTTGCTTAAATCCTTTGCTGATTCAGAACGCGCAGTACAAGTCAGTAAGCAGCTACATGAGTTACTTGCGAGAGGAGGCTTTGAATTGACAAAATGGATTTCCAATTCTCGCAGCGTGTTGTCAGCGTTCCCTGTGGAGGAAAGAGCACCCACCATTAAGAGTTTAGATTTGAAATCAGAAAGTTTGCCTATAGATAGAGCACTAGGAATCCACTGGAATGTTGAACATGACACCATTGACTTTGTTGTGAATGACAAGGAGCGTCCAGAGAATCGGAAAGGTGTCTTATTATCTATTGCAACTGTGTATGACCTGCTCGGATTCGCCAGCCCCCTACTCTTACCTGGAAGAGAAATGAATCAGGAATTGTGCAAACTAAAGTTGGATTGGAATGAGAAGCTCCCAAGAGAATTGTGTGAACATTGGAAGAGTTGAAGAGAAGGGCTTCTGAGCTTGCAAGGATTCAGTATTCCTCGATGTTTTAAGCCAAAGGACTTCGGTGAAGTGAAACATGTAGAGCTTCATCATTTCGCCGATGCATCCCAAGAGCATGGTTATGGGACGGCCTCTTATTTACGTCTTGTTAACAGTCGAGGGCAAATTCATTGCTGTTTCGTAATGGGGAAGTCTCGCGTGAAACCCTTGAAAAGTGCTGTAACAGTACCAAAGCTGGAGTTGACAGCAGCTACTCTAGCTACGAAAGTCCACAAGGTCATAACGAGAGAGTTAGAAGGAAGACTGAAGATTAACAGTGTGACTTACTGGACTGACTCTATGATAGTTCTCAAGTACATTGCCAATGAAGTACGAAGATTTGTAACCTTCGTCGCAAACCGGGTAGCTGTCATACATCAAGAATCAGATCCAGGGCAGTGGCGGCATGTACGATCAGAGCTCAATCCTGCGGATTATGCTTCCCGAGGGATCAAGGCCTCGGAGACTGGAAAACTGGAAAGGTGGCGCCATGGTCCAGAATTCTTGTGGAGAGAAGTTGAAGATTGGCCCCCCAGCCTCCAGAGGAATTGGGAGACCTCCTAGATACAGACGAAGGAGTGAAAAAGGAGAAAGTCACTGTTGGAGCATCCACAGTTCATGCGGATTTCTGGAGCATTTTGTTCCAACGATATTTGTCGTGGGATCGACTGAGAAGAATAGTTGGGTGGTTATGTAGAGCCTTCAACAGACCGATGCAGTCCCAGTGCCAGAACAACAAAGATAGAAGTGTGAAGTATAGTCCTAAAACCTTATCGATCCATGATGTGGACAAAGTGGAGAAGAAAATTGTGAAGTTCGTCCAGGAACAGTCATTTGCTGATGAGAAAAGTGAAACAGTCATCAAAGGTAGACTAGCCAGACTTAAGCCATTCGAAGATGAAGGAATCATACGTGTCGGCGGAAGATTGAATCACTCGAGTTTGCCATATGATGCCAAGCACCCGATGATACTGCCAGCAAAGCACCCCATGTCTGAGTTGATAATTCGCCACTATCATCACTTGAATGGACACGTAGGAACCTATCAAGTTCTGGCCGAAATTAGGCAGCGCTATTGGATCGCGAATGCAGTTTCCATGATAAAGCAAGTTCTTGGCAAGTGCCATGTGTGCAAACGTCAGAACGCTAAGTTAGGAGAACAAGTGACAGCACCACTTCCAGTTGTTAGAGTGTCTTCGGATAGTCACAGGCTCGTATATCCATTTGCTGCAGTTGGGTTGGATTACTTCGGGCCCCTCTACGTGAAGATAGGACCTAACACAAGATCAAGGAGAGACCCTTCTCTGAACAAACGTTACGGCTGCATCTTCACTTGCATAAGATATCGAGCAGTTCACATAGAGTTAGTTAACAACCTCTCCACTGACAGTTTTATCAATGCCGTTTTGCGCTTCGTTGGTAGAAGAGGCCCCCCAGGTATTATCTACAGTAACAACGGTACTAATTTTAGAGGAGCTGAACTGGACGTCGTCAACGCTTTAAAAGTGTGGAATCAGGAGAAGATTCAGTTGAAGTTGACCAGGAGAGGAATTGAGTGGAAATTTAACCCACCCGTGGCCAGTCACCAAGGCGGCGTATGGGAGAGACTTATAAGGTCTATCAGAAGGATCCTTCATTCTATGGTGGGAGAACGCCTCATAGACGAAGAAACCCTGAGAACATTCCTCATTGAAGTAGAGAAGATTTTGAATGACAGGCCAATCACGCTGGTCTCTGATAATCCAAAGGATTTGGAAGCACTGACACCGAACCATATCCTTCTGTTGCGCCGAAACCCGTCTTCATCCCCAGATTTATTCGATGAGTCAGATCGATTCAAAGCCAGATGGAAGCACGTTCACCTTCTCGCAAATGAATTTTGGCAGAGGTGGACAAGGGAATATCTGCCGATGCTCCAAGAACGCCAGAAGTGGTTACAACCTAAGCCAAACTTTAAAGTGGGAGATTTAGTGTTGCTTGCAGACAAGAATTTGTCATGCATGTATAAGAGTTAGGATCTCGTTTCAAGTTTCCAGAGTAGCTCTTTACACGCCTGCTGTAACCGAGTGAATACGCGAGAACAATCAAACAGTTAAACTCAGTTGAGTCTGTTGATTGAGTCCAGTATGTTAGAAGACCGATTATCCCTAGTAAACGGGGCAAAGTTTACGAAAATCCTTTGAACACCTTTGCCCCGAAACAAGAAGTTTATTTTCATTTTCTTTTATGGTTCAATTATTCTAGAGGAAGAAAAACTATTGCATTATATCAACCACAGAACAATTTAAAACTGGAACATACTCCCACCTTTAAGATAGTCATAGGGATGCATGATCTTATGATAATTTTCAAAAGCTTAAGTGGCTACCAGTTGATCAACTATTCAAGCTTAATAAACTCGTCCTTTAAAAGAAAGTTATTGATGGAAAAGCACCAGAATACTTAATTGCAACCTTGGACTCACTACAGTTTGCACACAAGTACTCTTCCAGAACAAAAACATTATACCGCTTAGCCAAATACAGAACTGAGGCAATACAGAGAACATTCTTTTATTCCACTATTAAAGAACTAAATGCTCCTAACTTAGAACCAACCACCTCCTTTGGCTAAATGATGACAACACTGATAAATAATGCCGCCTTAAACTATATAGTGGACGATTTTAAAGTTAAAAAGTTATTCTGATTTTTAAAAATCCATGTTTTTAAATATCATTGTAGACTGGATTCCCTTTTTTACCAATGTATTTATTTCTGTTTTTAACACCTCTCGGTCTTTCTTTTCTCTATTTCTCTAATCTCTAGAATTTTTAATAACTTTTATTATAATCACTATTTGTAAATAGGCTTTTATCATGATTGTTGTAATTTTATTATCAATTTTGTTTTTAGAGGGCATATAGGGAGAACACTTTTCAAAGTAATTGGTGTCACCCTCTTAAAATAAAATAAAGGTAAGCATTTAACCCAAAACCAAGAGCGCTATCACTATAGTGAAACCCTTTTGCACAATTTTGAAACAGGCTTGTGGAAGAAACCTCAGAAATTGCAGACACAAACGAAAAGAGTTTTAATGGAAAATTTTAGTATCCTTGAGAATCCCTTTGAGCTAAATCAGAAAACAAACATATTCCTAGTGGTTTTTAATTTATCTGTTAAATCAGTGATGACCGCCTTCGGAGGTGTTGGCTCTGAGGCTATATTCCTTAATAATAGAACAGGTATTTCCTGAGCAATTCTATTTCCCTCTTCACATCGTTGAACAACCTGAGCAAGCAACTCTTTCAGATATTCGTATGATTTCTTTTCAGTTATGGGTTTTGCAACCTATTGCTTGTTTGCTTTGAGAAAGCAAAGTTTGTAGCGTGCCAGGCCTTCCTGTGCTGCTGACTTAATCACAGTTTGACCAACATGTTCTCTGGCCTAAATTCAGGATATTTCTGAAATGTCATCTGGTCATTAATTTGCTGATATCATGAACCTTAGATTGACTTACTCCAAAGGTATTATGAGTGTTTTGAAAGGATTTCAAAATGGCTGGTTCTTGATCGAGCTAAAAAAGAATTAAAATAAGCACTGAAAGATTGTTGATGGCTGACAGAAAAACTGAAAAAACCAAAGAAGGTTACTGTAACCAAAACCGTTCAAGACCCGATATCTGGGCGCAAAAATCTAAATATTCATACAGACCTCGCTTTGCAAGTGCTTATCATCTGTAGCTAATACGTCGTCAGCCAGCTGTAGCTCTAACTCCGACTTTCAACCTGGTAAGTTTACCCTGGCTTAAAATGTTTGATAATTCACCAGAATGTTTCTTCCTCTTCCTAGTATTAATAGTTATTGCTGTTTTTGGAGTAAATTTATTAATGATTAGAGGTACCACATGTTTTCTCTGTCAAAAGTGCACACAACAAATGTTTCACCCTGACTGCGGCAGCGATGACGAGATAAGCTCCCATGATGCTGACATTTCTTCTACCAGAATCTCAGGTAGCTCAAAATGGATATCGATTTTTTAAAATCATTTTTTACGTACATTAACATCATTACTACTATTTTATCCTGATATGTGTTTGGTAAGTCTCCTATAGGGCTGGGGCCAAACCATGGTCAACCTGCTCCTTAGGGTAGATGCAGTACCCACTAAAGCAATCTTTTGCAACTCTCTCATGTTTGTTGAACCAGGGTTTTTTTTTATTTAGTATCTCAAATACAGTAACTGTACATGTAGAGTAAATTACTTTGGCTTGCACTACATGCTTGAATCCAGTTTTATTCAGATTCTACTTTTATTCTTTTGTTGTTAGACTCTGGCTTACAAGAAGCTCTTCAACAATGTGAAAAACTGTTGCTTGACTTTTTTTTTTGAGGGTGTCCATCAGTCACCTTGGCAGTCAAGAATGGAGCATTCTGGATATCACAAAAACCTTGTCCAATGATTGTTTAATTATCTAATGACTCCTAAACACATTGAAGGCGCACAATCATAGATCTTACTTCATCAATTTGTTTCTAGATGTAACATGGCGCACTCCTTGTCTCATTTTCAAAAACCTGAACTGGCCAGGAGTATCAACCAGGACTGGCACAACAACCAGGATACCACTCTCAGCCCCTATTCAATATTCAACTAGAAAACATCTTAATTGATGAACTGCACCTGATACTCAGGGTTACCGACTGTTTTGAGGAGGGCTTAATCATGGACATTCTAAAATGGGATGAGGTAGGCGTTGTTAGGATAAAATGTAAGTGAAGAAATAAAATAATATTACTACTAGATTATTGACCAAGCATGAGGCCTGGACAGGGGGCATTGTGATTTTTCCATTGTTTGTCATATAATAAAACTGGGAAGAAGAAGCAGTTACTATATGGTTTGAAATATTATTTTCTGGTAGGGTGACAGCCAATCCAGCCAACAAAAGTCTACAGTTCACCTGGACATGTTTCTGTCTACAGTGTGGTCACTGGGGGTCTCTTTCAATGTGTACAAAGTTGGAGACAAGATAGAGTGGACATCACTACTGGGGGGGGGGGTTGAGAAGAGACTTTCACTTCAGAAATTACCAGTGAAAACTGTTTGAGAAGTTTCTTCCCCAATCTAATCTAGAAAAGTAACTCTATTGTGTTTTCACTCATTCAACAGAATTTCAGGGAGCTTCTTGATGACATGACCCGCGAGACTTTTCATGCGAATGATGGTGCAAAGAAATTTGAAGAAAAGGTAAGAAGTACTCTCTGATATTTTGGTGGGGTTTCAACAGTTGTCTTGTATTTGGGGTAGATAACAGGATTCAAACACTTTACCACAATGAACATACAGAAATGTGATGTTGAAGAGAATTAGTAAAATAATCTTGAGCAAGGCTATGAAAAGCTTTAACTATACACACATAAACATTTGCTTGTATAAAGAGAAAAACAAATAGCAAACACCTCCGATTGCTTTGTTTTGATCTAGGCACTCCGCTGGGGTAAGCAGATAGTCCAAATGTCTGGAATTGGTCCAGGATATATGCAAACCATCAAAGCAACACCATAGATGCATATATTAATATATCATGTGCCATGTATGCTATGAAAGCATGGAAGTCTGAAGCAATTTAGCAGACAAGGTATAACAAACTTATTGCTTGTTGATTGAGATGACAAAGTCTTCATGTAATTTATAACATGGATTATAGGATAAAGATTGTTGGGAAAGTTCAACAAATATTTCATTCTGCAGAGGAAAAACTAATACAGATCCCTGTTATTCTTAGTTTTCAGGTGTTGAGAAGAAAAACGATGACCTTTGGAGGTACTTCCAATGGAAGATAAACCACTGGGATGCAGCAACACATCTGCTCCTTGTAGAAAAGCGACAAGAAGAGCTGAGGGGACAGGAGCGCAAGAAGCGAACTTACACAAAGCAAAAAAGCTTGTTTTGGCTGGAGGGAGTGAAGCAAGAGTCAGCAAAAAAAGGTTGTAAGGATTTCAACCATACCTCAAACAACAAGTTTCATTGCTGAACCTCAACCACTCAACCTAAGTGCGCTGAAAAAGGTGAAGACTACTGAACTTCTTGTTTTAGTCAATGAGACAACTGGCAGGCACATCAATACAAGAACAAGGAAACAAGTCCTACTAGCTGCTCTGCTCAGTCCAAGGTCTGAGTAACCCTGGGTCAATTTGACTCAACCAACAAAAACGGCTCCCTTAGGAGCCACCAAATATCTAAAAGCAATGAGCCTGTGTTTATACCATTGGCCTCTCCTGAGTTTCTGTCCAAGCTTAACATAATGGGTGGTGGGTGAAGCACCCCTATAATAAAAATATTTTATTCCCTTTTCTCTTGACTCCAGTTTTTTAGTTAGCAAAAAGGCACCATGTAAATTGACGAGAATCCAAGTTATCTTAAGCCCGCATTCAAATGTAAAACACCCAATCACTATCCTTAACAAGCATTAAAAAGCATTTTATTTCACAACAGAAAACAAAATTAGAATTTAAATACTTAGATGGGCTTGTAGGGCATTCCTGAGTTGATAGGCTTTATCACCATTACTATAAGACATAACTTTTTCAAGGGTCTTTCCAAACGTTGAGAATGTCCACGTTTCAATTGCCATCGCCACCATCTTCTTTCTGATTTAAAATGAGTATGTGCAGACAATCTTAGCAAACAACTGCTTGGTGGAAGTATTGTTGTTAGTCTTCGTAAGCTCGGAGCCTCTGAGTCCCTTTGTTTTGTGTGTTGTGTGAGAGCTGTGAGACATGTCATCTCAAGATCAGTTAATAACGGTAAAAAGTTCTTCATTTCCTAATTTGGACTCTTAGCAACTAGACCACATTCTTTAGCTCAGCTTCAAACATAGAATAGTTTTTCAGGATCACCAAACATTTCATTTTGCAGCTCACTTTCACTGACGGCCAAGTTAAAAACTCTTTGGAGGAGCTGGGCGTGTACCTGGAAGGGCACTTGGCCCAGTCAGGTGATGTAAGTAAAATTTATTCATATCTATTTTAATAAATATGAATAACAAATCATTATTGTTACGAAAAATTGTCTAAGTAAAGTCCCAGAACATTCTAGAACCTGAAGTCATCTAGACATGACATTCTATAAAAGGAACATTCTGGAACGTTCTATTTCTTACATAATTGTTCAAATTTAGAAACCGTGTTAATCTACTAAATTTAGAAGAAGTCAACTACGCAGAAATAAAACAGTTTGTTGTTGTTACCAACGATCCTAAGTTTTGTCTAGGAACAATCCTGCTCTACATCGACACTCGTAACATTGGGGGCCTGTCCCGGGAGAGCAGAAACTTTTTTACTGGACTATCATAACCAGGAAAGGTACAGGACAAACTTGGCCGAGTGAAAATACCGTTCTGTGTGAACCAAACGTAAAAGAAGGTTTTACTGTTATCCTGTGTGGACATTTGTTGACTGTGTGTCATATGATATGGAGAAGTTTATCGAGTTAGGAAAAACATTTGGCCTGGAAGGAGCTGAGTTGCTTTCATTAGTGGAGAAACGTAGAGAGGAAGAACGTGAGGAGAAACAAAGAAAAGAAGAAGAAAAGAAGAAGAGAAGAAGAAGAGAAGGAAGAGAGACGTAGAAGGCAAGATGAGGAGAGGGAAGCTTGACGACAAAAGCGCGAAATTAGAAAACTTCAAGTCGAGGCTGAGCTTCACAGACAAAAGGTGGAAGCCGAAGAAGCTCAGAGAAGACATGAGCTAGAAATGAAGCATTTAGAGCTGGAACAGACCAAGCATTGGCCTAGAGCTCAGGCAAATAATTACGAGGATAGAGCGAAAGCTCCTAAACTACCTTCCTTCGTGGACGGAAAAGATAATTTGGATGCTTATCTCCAGCGATTCGAGAGATTTGCAGTGACTGCAAAATGGGAGAAAGCTGGATGGGCCACCAAGTTGAGTGCTTTACTCTCAGGCTGAGCTCTTGAGGTTTACTCCCGCCTGTCAGAAGAAGCAGCGTCTGATTATGACAAAATGAAGATAGCCCTTATGAGAAGGTATGACCTTACAGAAGATGGTTATAGGCGTAAATTTAGGACCTCAAAGCCTGAGATTGACGAGAGTCCAGACCAGTTTATTGTTTGATTGTCTACTTACCTAATTCGGTGGCTTGAACTATCAAAAACGGAGAGGAGCTTCGACGGACTAAAGAACTTGATTGTTAAAGAGCAGTTCATCAATTCATGTCCTAAGGAACTCACTGTTCACTTGCGTGAACATGCACCTGAAACCCTTAAAGAGATGGCGAAAATTGCTGACCAGTACTTAGAGGCGCATGGGAAGCACGTATTTAGTACCGGGCGGAACAAGGCACCTACACCACCAAAGAAGGATGACAACAAGAAGCCACCAACTGATACAACACCACTGTACTGTTACAGATGTAATGGCCGAGGGCATAGGTCTGGTAATTGTCCTATCAGGAGATGCTATTTGTGTGGAAGGTGTAGTGACAGTCAAACATTGGAAACTTCATTTAAGTAACTTTACCGGTACTCGTAATTTACATTGTTAATGTTATTGTTAATCCGGGATACCGATACCTTTTAGTGCCCGTCAACACATATGTCAGCGGACTCGTTCTGTGAAGACGCCATTTTGTGAAGTATGTGTAGCACGAGGTTTTTGTAGATTAAAGCCTTTAGAAACGAGGCCAAACGTTTGTTTAACTATCATAACAATTTAATCTACAAAAAAAAAAAAAAAAAAAAAAAAAAAAAAACAAATGGATAAAGTCCTCAGGCCCGAGAGATTCAGCGCCGATCCAAGCACGTCTGGAGCATCAAAATCGTGGATTCACTGGCGTCGAACCTTCGAAAATTTCCTCGCCGTATTGACGGAAGAAGGCCTCGATAAATTTGGAGTCCTGACAAATTTTATTTCGCCTGCGGTATTCGAATATGTAGAAGAATGTGCCGACTACGAGTCTGCAATCGAAACTCTTCAAAATATTTTCGTGAAGCCGACGAACGAAATCCACGCCAGACACGTGCTCGCTACCAGACGACAACAGGTTGGTGAAACTCTAGACGAATATCTTCAAGCGCTCAAAACTCTCGCCAAAGACTGCAACTTTCAATCTGTCACCGCTGCCAAATATTGTGAGGAATATATACGGGATGCTTTCATTACTGGGCTACATTCTAACCAAATACGCCAAAGGCTACTAGAAAACAAAACTCTAGATCTGAAAACGATGTTTGACCAGGCCCGGGCGCTCGACTCTGCCATGCGCAGTTCAGAGAGTTACTCTGTCCCTCAACCTGTCAGCGTTGCAGCCTCAGCACAAGAAATGACCGCTCAGAATCCAATCCAAGTCGACTCTGCTCAGTCAGACTCCACACTCGCTGCAATTGATTCAAAGTGCTTCTTCTGTGGAAATCCTAAACACCCTCGTTCCAAGTGTCCAGCCAGAGATGCAATTTGCAATAAATGTCAAAAGAGGGGACATTTTGCGAAAGTCTGCCGAAGCAAGGCCTCTAAACCCAGCGAAGTTTCAGCTGCTCTCTGGCCACCTTCTCTTGCCACCGTAGGAATTCCCCAATCTCTTAAAGGATCAACTGCTACTGTTGTTGTCAACAAGGTCTGGAGTGTAGAAGCACTCTTTGACAGCGGAAGCAGTGAAAGCTACATACATCCAAGCCTCGTTGAAGTAGCTGCTATCTCTGTTAACCCTTCGGTCAGCCAGGTCTCCATGGCAACATCTTTGTTAAGTACAAAGACCGAGGGCTCTTGCTCTGTTACTATTAACTACCAAGGTCAAACTTATAAAGACTTTCGCCTGTTGGTTATGCCAGGGCTTTGCTCTGATCTGATTTTAGGACTCGATTTTCAGTCTCAACATGATAGTGTCACATTCAAGTATGGCGGAACAAAACCGCCGCTGTCGGTATGCAGTCTCACTACTCTGAACATAGAGCCGCCATCACCATTTTTTAACCTCACTGCCGACTGCCATCCTATTGCTACAAAGTCCAGGCGCTACAGCAAAGAAGACCTGAACTTCATTGGCAATGAAGTAGAACGGTTGCTCAAGGAAGGCATTAGTGAGCCAAGCCGGTCCCCTTGGCGGGCACAAGTAGTTGTCACAAAGGATGAGAATCACAAGAAACGCTTAGCTATTGATTATTCCCAGACAATCAATAGATTCACCCAACTAGATGCTTTCCCGCTGCCGAGGATCAGTGATACGATCAACGAAATAGCTCAGTGTTCAGTACCCTTGACCTCCAGAGTGCGTATCATCAAATACCTTTAAGAGAAGATGACAAGCCTTACACTGCGTTTGAAGCTAAAGGTGGGCTTTATCAGTTTACCAGGCTTCCTTTCGGTGTAACCAACGGTGTAGCCTGCTTCCAAAGAGAAATGATGAGATTTGTTGAAGATAACCACTTGAAAGCTGTGTTTCCATACATCGACAACATAACTGTATGTGGAAAGGATCAAGCTGACCATGATGCTAACCTCATATTATTCCAGGAGGCTTCTCAAAAGGCGAATCTTAAATTCAACGACAGCAAAAGCGTCTTCTCTGCTCAACGACTGCCGTTACTGGGATATGTCATTGAAAATGGTTCTATTAGTCCAGACCCCGAAAGATTAAGGCCTCTACTGGAGCTCCCACTGCCGCAAAGCTCAAAGGCTCTTAATAGATGTCTGGGACTTTTCTCTTACTATTCTCAATGGGTTCCTTGTTTCGCCGACAGAATTAAACCCATAACCAGCTGTAGATCATTTCCTTTATCTTCTGAAGCACAGAAAGCATTTGAAGACTTAAAGAGGATCATTGCCAAAGCTGCTGTCTCTGCCATAGACGAGAGTATTCCATTTGAGGTGGAAACAGACGCCTCAGATGTAGCGCTAGCCGCTACCCTAAATCAGAAGGGCAGACCTGTAGCCTTTTTCTCCCGCACCCTTCAAGGTAGTGAACTGAAACACTCTGCTGTAGAAAAGGAGGCTCAAGCAATAGTTGAGTCGGTCAGGCACTGGAGACATTTTCTCACCGGGTCCCACTTCACTCTAAAAACGGACCAAAAGTCAGTTTCCTACATGTTCAACCAGCGTCATCAAGGAAAGATTAAGAATGACAAGATAATGCGCTGGAGGATTGAACTGAGTTGCTATAGCTTTGACATAGAGTATCGACCAGGCAGAGATAATGTAGCACCGGATACCTTCTCACGAGCCACGTGTGCTTCTAGCGTCAGTGATGCTCTCTACAAGCTCCATGATTCGCTCTGTCACCCTGGGATTACCCGATTATGGCATTTTATTCGAGTCAAGAACTTGCCTTATTCTCTAGAAGATGTTAGGAGGACTGTGAACTCCTGTCCAATCTGTTGTGAATGTAAACCGGTATTCCACCGCCCGGACCCAGTTCAACTTATAAAAGCTACCCAACCCTTTGAACGAATCAACATTGACTTTAAAGGGCCACTTCCTTCCAACGACAAGAACAAATACTTCCTGAATGTTGTTGATGAGTTTTCACGGTTCCCGTTCGTTTTCCCTTGCCCTGATGTGTCTACTCCGACCGTTATAAAGTGTCTCACCACATTGTTTTCTCTATTTGGTATGCCTGCCTATGTGCATTCTGACAGAGGGGCTTCGTTTATGAGTCAAGAGTTACGGGAATTCCTCTCTAGCAAAGGTGTATCTACAAGTCGTACAACCAGTTATAACCCCACATGTAATGGTCAAGTTGAGAGGTACAATGGCACTGTATGGAAGGCGATTACAACATCTCTTAAGTCAAAGAAGCTTCAGGCAGAACAGTGGCAATTGGTCCTGCCAGATGTGTTGCACTCGATCCGTTCTCTTCTGTGCACCGCAACGAATGAGACTCCGCATGAACGTTTCCTGAACTTTTCACGCCGTTCATCCACAGGTAGTTCGATCCCCTCTTGGCTGGCTGAACCTGGCCCTGTTTATGTAAAGCGTCATGTACGACACAGTAAGTTTGATCCTCTGGTTGAAAAAGCTGATGTTCTCCAGACCAATACTCACTACGCTCACGTTCGTTATCCTAATGGCAGAGAAACAACAGTTTCAACCAAGAATCTTGCTCCTTGTGGTCAAGTGGAACTTCTAGAACCACCCTCTTCAATCCAGCTCCCAGTCGTTAAACCCAATATTTCTAGTGAGTTTTCTCCCGTCAACGATCATCATGTTGATAAGACGCAAGAACCAACTAAAGAACCAGAACCCAGAGAATTGAGGAGATCACAGCGAGAGCGCCGCCCTGTAGATAGGCTCAATTTATAGGAAGGGGTGAATGTAGTGACAGTCAAACATTGGAAACTTCATTTAAGTAACTTTACCGGTACTCGTAATTTACATTGTTAATGTTATTGTTAATCAGGGATACCGATACCTTTTAGTGCCCGTCAACACATATGTCAGCGGACTCGTTCTGTGAAGACGCCATTTTGTGAAGTATATGTAGCACGAGGTTTTTGTAGATTAAAGCCTTTAGAAACGAGGCCAAACGTTTGTTTAACTATCATAACAGAAGGCATGGCCATGAAGCAAGAAATTGTAAATCCGGTGTGCCAAAGTCAGGAGGGCAAAGCAAAAATGGTTCGCCTATGCCGCGAAACCAGGTTAGTGCTGGATGTTTAGTGCAGTCTTCTCCACCACAAGCTACGGCAGAAGATATTCAGTCATTCATTGAGGGTGACCAACTCCTTCTAGCCTGTGGTAAGAAAATCCCCTTACTGAGTAGCGCCTGTGTTCAACCTTTATCCGGAGCGAGGAGCAAGATGCCAGTTGTTAAAGGAAAGATAGGCGACTAAACTTTCTATGTGTTTAGAGATACTGGATGTAGTGGTATCGTAGTAAAAAAAGAGCTGGTCTTGAAGGAACAGTACACAGGTGACTTTAACTGTATGTTGTTGATCAACAATACTGTGCGGAAGGTACCAATTGCCCGAATCAGAATAGATACCCCTTACCTCTCTGGGGAAGTTGAAGTCCAGTGCCTTCCTGACGCGATCTATGATCTGATAATCGGCAACCAGACCCCAGTTGGCAAGAGGCATGTGCGGTCACCACCAGGAGTCAGGCTAAGAAGGAAGGAAAGCACAAGCCGCTAAAAGTTGCAAGCAGCCCAAAGTGTGCAATTGTGGATAGAAACGAGCTTGTGAGATTACAGCGCGAAGATAAAAGCCTGGAGAAGTACTGGCACCAAAGAGATATTAAAGTGAAGGGAAAACAGGAGGTGAGCTTCAAAGAAAGGGGCAGTGTATTGTACAGGAGCTACAAGCATCCTCATGTAAACGGCGGTAAACCGGTAAGGCAAGTGATGGTACCAATGCCTTTGCGACGTCAACTCATGGAAGTAGCTCATGAATCTGTTATGGGAGGCCATATGGGTGTGAAGAAAACCACTGACAAGATCTAGAAAGCATTCTACTGGCCAGGTATTCAAGGAGACGTTTCCAGACGCTGCAAATCGTGTGATATTTGCCAGAAGACGGTGAATAAAGGGTCGGTACCTAAGGTGCCGCTAGAAAAGATGCCACTGATTGATATGCCATTCAAAAGGGTAGCCATTGACCTCATTGGTCTGATAAGTCCACCTAGCAAAGAAGGCCACCAATACATCCTTACACTCATGGACTATGCTACACGCTATCCTGACGCTGTTCCATTGAAGAATATCGACACTGAAACAGTAGCTGAGGCCTTGGTTGATATCTTCAGCCGCCTAGGAATTCCAGAAGATATCCTTAGTGACTTAGGCACACAGTTTGTGTCTGATTGTATGAAGGAAGTTGCACGCCTTTTGAGTATTAAGCAGCTAACCACCACCCCCTACCATCCTATGTGTAATGGATGACAGAGAAGTTCAACGGAACTCTGAAGATCACATTGAAGAGATTGTGCAGCGAGCAGCCAAGACAGTGGCACCGCTACATCAATCCCCTCCTGTTTGCCTACCGTGAAGTAGCCCAGGAATCTACCGGATTCTCTCCTTTTGAGCTTCTTTATGGGAGAGCTGTAAGAGGTCCCATGTTCATCCTCAAAGAGCTGTGGACAAAAGAGGTCAAAGCCCCGCAGGTGAAGAATGGCTACCAGTATGTCTTTGAGTTACGAGAAAAGCTAGAGGACACCTTGAAAATTGCCCATGAAGAGTTACAGAAAGCCCAGCAGAAGGGAAAACACTATTATGATCGTAAGACCAAAATGAGAACCTTTCAGCCAGGAGATAAGGTTCTTGTTTTACTGCCGACTGATCGGAATAAGTTGCTGATGCAATGGAAAGGTCCCTATGAAGTTAGTGCTGTAGTGGGCACCAACGATTACAAAGTGAAAATAAAAGACAAGCTGAAGGTCTACCATGCTAACCTCTTAAAGAAGTACATCGAGCGAGAAGAGGGGCTTGAAAAGGCCGTGACCGCGATTGCAGAGGGACTGGTGACGACCGTTACCTGCAATGGTGAGTCATGCGAACCAGAATTGAGCCCAGATATTGATGATGATAGTGATTTCCTAGAGATTGGAGGATATGTAGCGAAGGAATGAATCGCTGATGTGAAGACTGGCCATGGTCTTAGTGACACCGAGTGTAGAGAATTCCTAGATTTGGCACAAGAGTTTTCAAACTTGTTCACCGACGCCCCCGGAACCACTAACCTCGTCCAGCATCATATCAACCTCACGTCCAGTGAGCCCGTCAGGTCAAAGCCATACCCTGTTCCGTACAGCATGAGGGAATCCCTCAAGAAAGATATAGATGACATGATGAACATGGGAGTAATCAGAGAGTCTAACTCTCCCTACGCATCGCCAGTGGTGGTTGTAAAGAAAAAGGATGGTAGTAATAGAGTGTGCGTGGACTACCAAAAGCTCAACAAGCTAACCGTGTTCGATCCCGAACCAATGCCAACAGCCATTGACCTATTTCAGAAGTTGAATGGAGACAAGTTCTTCTGGAAGATTGATTTGAGCAAAGGATACTGGCAAGTTTCAATACCGGAAGCAGACATTCCAAAAAACGGCCTTCGTTACCCTAGACGGATCATATGAGTTCCTGAAGATGCCTTTTGGCATGGTGAATTCCGCTGCTACACTGAAACGAGGAATGAAAAAATTGCTCAAAGGTATGAAGAATGTTGAGTTCTATTGGGATGATATCCTGGTCCACACCTGTACATGGGAGGAGCACCTTAAGACTCTCTGAGAGCTTTTTAGATGCCTAGCTGGGGCTGGAATGACAATTAGACCAAGTAAGTGTATCTTTGGTGCTGCCAGCATCGATTTCCTTGGCCACCAATTACAGCCAGGCTTAATTGTCTGCATGAGGATAATGTCGCCAAGATCAGATCAGCTCCAAGACCAACGACCAAGAAGCAGGTTCGATCCTTTATGGGACTGGCAGGATATTACCGAAATTTCATCCCCAACTTCGCAGCTATCGCAGCTCCCCTTTCTGACCTAACGCGGAAGGGTCAACCAAGTAAAGTAGGGTGGAGTGACGCCCACGAGAAAGCTTATCAGACTATTAAGATTGTAATTGTTGTCGAGTTACGTATTATTTCTGTTACGTATTAGTCTTTGTTTTTGTATTAGTGACGCTTCGATATCATATGTCAGACCTCGTGCGTTGTCGTTTGCGGTAGTTTAGACAAGAGAGCTTATTGCGAGTGTTTCTGCATTCATTGCGACTCATTCAGGCGTTACAGAGAGGACAATCGGTAAGCGACCTTATTATTGTATTGATTTCCTTGTTTTCTTTTCCTGTTACCGAATGTTGCATTGTTAGCTGTGTTTGCACTCGTGTAATTGATATGTATTCATGTCATAAAATAGTTATTTTAGTTTCAGTCCTTTAGTATCCTAGACTAGGTTTTTTAATTGTATTTTAGTTTGACAGTTTTGGGCATCAAGTCACAATTAGTACGAATAAACTACGTTTGCAATTATAGTTGGTCTTTGGTGTCTCAAATCAGTATTTCGCTCGATGTCCTCGCATTAAATCCTGTGTATCTTTGGGACATTCCGACGTTGTTTCGACGCCTGGAGCTATAAAGATTATTCTCACCGGTGATCCAGTCTTGTGTCTACCGGATCCTGAAAAGACCTTTGTTCTAAGGACAGATGCTTCAGACTACGGGATTGGCGCAGTTCTGATGCAAGAGCATGAGGGCAAGTTGTTTTCCATCTGTTATGCAAGTAGAAAGTTGAGTGACGCCGAGCGTAATTATTCTACAATAGAGAAGTAGTGCCTGGCAGTTGTGTGGAGTATCAAGAGATTTCATATGTATCTATACGGTGTACGCTTTGTACTACAGAACGAACCTCTTAAGTATATGAACAGTGCAAAGTTCACTAACAATCGTCTGATGCGGTGGGCTATGTTCTTACAGAGCTACAACATGAAAGTGGAAGCCATTAAGGGATCAGAAAACGTTGGAGCTGATTACCTAAGTCGTGTAACGGAATGAGGAGATTAATGGACTATCATATGCTGTTTATCTACATAGACGATTTTTCGTTTTAATGCAGAAATTTTACAAATTTCTTCTCAAAGAGGGGGCTATGTTACGAAAAAATTGTCTAAGTAAAGTCCCACAACATTCTAGAACCCGAAGTCATCTAGACGTGATCTTCTAGTAAAAGGAAAATTCTGGAACGTTCTATTCCTTACATAATTGTTCAAATTTAGAAACCGTGTTAATCTACTAAATTTAGTTCTTTAGAGAAGTTTCTAGATCCTTATACTTTATGTATATAAGAGCGACAGTTCCATCGAACAGAGAGAGAGATTTGCGAGGAAGCTTAGTGCTATAGAAACAAGAAGTCAACTATGTGGAAATAAAACAGTTTGTTGTTGTTACCGATGATCCTGAGTTTTGTCTAGGAACAACCCTGCTCTACATCGACACTCGTAACAATTATTTTCATAGCAATTTCTCAAACAGAGAAATCTCCTTCCGTTGCATTTTGAAACTTGCAAATGGCGTGAATTTGGACTATATCTTCTTAATCTCCCCTAATTTTAGGTCACCCAACAAATGGATCCCCTTTAGAGATGGTTACTATCTTCTGAATTCATTTTATGCTCTTCAAAGAGAAAAAATTGAAGTTTTATTGTTCCAGTGGTCATTTCTGAACTGTCAACTTTAAACAGGGACTTAATGGTGTTGCTGGCACTCCAGTTTGTGGCCTTTCAGCCAGCCATTCAGGAAATTCTGGAGAACCATAATACCAGTAAATGACTATTTTGTGTTAAGTATTCTTAAAAAACGTATTTCATGCAA